TATCTTTCAGAGTATAACGTTAGATTTAAAATAATCCTTAGATTTTATTCCAATGTTAATTTTCACACATTATTTACTTTCAACTGTAGTTTCTACGCTAATTTATATTTATTTCGTCAACTTACTGCAGCCAATCAATTCGTCTACATCGCGACGAGCAGAGGCATATCAAAAGCGTTAATAATTAAATTGGAAATTAGAAGATTAAAAAATAAAATTAAACATTTTAATTTAGAATAAAAACATTTCATTCGTATAAATATAAATGTCACAATCTTTCGGTAATTTCTTTCATCGAATATTCTTAAATTTCACGCGATAAAATAATATATATAATTCTAGTAAATAATGAAATTCATTTGTTCAATTCTTTCAGAAAGACCAAGATACGCATGCATCGTAACGCAAATGCAAAACTGTGGCATATTCAAATCGCAATTAAAGGAAAGAAATTCCAAAGAATATAATAAGCAGAAACGTCAAGCATAATTTATCAACATTTTTACCATAAAGCATCAACTCTTCCCAGGTGGGGAGCGTTTCTACGTATGAAAAATGTTATTAACAACTGTTTTTTCGTCAAGCGGTTCATCAAAATATAAAACTCCCCAATTTCCGTGACTGTTTATCGTTAATTGTGAAATTAATTTCAGAGAAGTAAAATATGTTTCATTATATCTAAAAAATTGAACAACTTGTATACTCTACCTTGCGCACCTAGCATCGTAGCTTTCACTGTCGATAATATTTTTAGTTGCGTACCTATGGTAGGTATCCGTTCACAAACTTGAAGAAGATTCTATAAAAAAGAATTTATGAAAGATATCAACTTCATATCTTGTACATTCTATATACGCTATGATACGCCGTGACAGATTGAAATTGAATACATACAGTACGAATACGTTTGTCCGTACATTCTCTAGCCAACTCTTTAGCTAAACGAGTTACTTCCTGGGAAGCTTCTGCAATGGCCTTGGCACATGCGATCAAATCCCTTTTATTGCCACCTTCTCCTCTAACTAGGCCTGACAATCTGCCCATTAAAATAGCCATTTTCTTCGCAGCAGCGATAATTTCATTATCTTTGCTGGACCATTGTCGTACTTCTTGATGCAAGCCATGGGCAGCCATCTAACATTTTACCAAGATTATACGTCGATCTTGCATCTTCGCGAACGTAAAATTGAAACATAAATCGAGTATACCATAATAGGCTGATTAGGCTGCGGTGCGTGCATAAACATTTCATCTTCGTCATCTGTTTCAGGCGGTGGAGGTCGCGGAGGTGGAATATCTCCACCAGGCAAAGGTGGACGCGGTGGGACGATTTCTGCGCAAGTTCGAATTATTTATTATTATTTTTACAAAAAACAATAAATCTTTAAGTAACAAATTCTTTGTCGATACAAACAGAGTATATTTAACACGATAAAAACAATGCACATTTCACAATTACCATCGCAATCGTTGTCGCAATCGTAACGACAGACTGTTATTCCACGTGGCATTAAAGATACAAACACGTGTTAATAATTTTAAATTACGTATCAGTACGATCGAACATGCACCAACGCGACAACTACGTAACGGATTAAAAGAAAAACGAACAACACGCTGTTAGTTATTAGAAACGATGAATGCAATTCGTCAGTACGAGGAAAATGAAAATTATAAATTGTACAATAGCGTTAACATACAAGCGGGTAAATGAAAAGTAGATTTCTCGATTGACAAAATGTCATGCGAATTATAAAAAGCAACGAATCGTTTAAAACAACGAATTTTTAAACTTAATATACTCGACGTTATATAATACAACACTCAATATTATACATGTATATTCGACGAAAGTGAATTCAACGCGCTATTACTTCTTTCATCGAACATCTTTTCCTGATTTAACTTATGGAATCGTTTATGGCTCGTTTCTTCAAATCCTATTGTTGAAAAAATGCTTTGTAAAGTAATGTATATTCAATCTCATCGTACACGTGCTTTTTCCCCCACGAATAATAGAACAACGAGCGTCGGGTACTTGCAATATTTTCAGTCGTCGAAAATATCAGTTTTGAGTTACCTCCATCGCGAACTGATTTTTCCAACTCGTTGTCAGAAGCCAGTTCTCGATACAAAAGATCAGGGTTATCCCCTGATGAAAAAAAAATTACCTTCACGTTTACCTCAACGTCAGGGAACAAGTACTTGAGAAATTTATACATCTATTTTTACTTTTCGTTGCCAGTTATTTGCAAATATCATTTAAGAAGAAGAAAAAAATCTTGTTCGATCTTTTTCAAATAATGGTAAATACCTTCACGCGCCCACTTCGGTAACGGGCTGATAGAGCGATGCTGGGGTTTATTTGTATTTAGACTAGAGTCGACGACACATAAATTGCTCGGCGATGGTTGATTTCTCAATGGTTCACCAACTAGTATTTAAAGAAATATTTTCAAATTTTCTCATTGAAATTACGAAACAACATAAAATAAAAAAATCCATATCGAGAAATCCTATCTCTCTCGAGTAGATCGTTTCATCAAACGTTAAATTTAACGTTTGTAACACAAAATGTAAAATGAACTTAGTATCGCTCGTGATATTTTCAGATTATCGATATCGTTCATTTCTAACATTTCTAATCCAATGAACTTGTAAAAATAATATTTAATTAATACAACGTAACGATCAATCGTGCATAAATCATCCTCGTGCAAATGTACAATACCTTTGTCCATGAAGTAATTATACCGACGGCTTGGCAATTGTTTTTCTGGAAGAAATATGTCGACGATTTTTCACGTTACGAAAAAAATAGACATTTGAATTTCGTCTATCGAAAGCTACAAGCGAATAAGCGAATTGTCGTTCATTTCGTCGGGTAAACAGATACTTTTAGATACTTGGAAGCGAGCAAGTAAAGGAAGATAGAACTACGAAAAAGCATAAAATTGATTTCCTATTCCCAAAGAAAGTCCCAAAGAAAGCCATTTTTTCAAAACACGAAAGAACACGGAATGTACGAACAAATATTTTACACACTCACCATCGTTAAGATGTAATTGCGATACCTCTGGTGGAGGTATTAAATCTGGTTGAATCACGATAGCCTTACGGACTTGACCAACGTTAGACAGAAGCTACGTAATAATAAACAAATTATTCGCAACGACAACAATAATTAAATTTTAACTCGCGTTTTACGTCACTCACCGTACGGTTACTTTCCCTCCAACGGGAAACCGCATTATTGTCATTGATACCGATTGCAACCAACTTTGCATCTCGAACCATCGGAGCAACACCTGAATAAAAGTAACGTTCATAAAATTCGTATTTAAATATATTCAAGAGAATTCCATCGGACGATTTTTATCTCACGTATCACGCACCGTTTTGAAGAATATCTGTGGCTTGATTCACTCTCTGAATGAACGCGGGGTCCTCGCTATTGTCACTTTCTTGCTTTGCCACGAGAATTACCCTGTTAGCCAATCTAGCAATGGCAGCCGTATTGTCAACCATTTTTTGCGGATGACTCTTCGCTATAGCCTCTTCACACAGGAACGAATGCTTTTGCATTTGTTCCTCGGAAGTTCTGATGAAATCCCCACTGTCAGTTGCTTCGTCGCACAACGCGCGTGTCCTTTGCATCGTTTCTGCATATTGCTGTCGCAAATTTTCGAAATGTTCGTCCGCAGCTCTACTGTCCTGGTAAGTCATTCGAATTCGTCCGGCATTGATCAATTGCGGTGTTAAAGATTCAACTTGCGAAGCACTCGCGGTCAACGCTTCCGCCAATTTTTTGTTACCTCCGCTACCTAAAATTTTACAACAGGATCGTAGTAAAATTTTACAAGATTTTACAACAGAATTGTAGTAACAATACGTTCGCGTACCACCAGCAGCCACCATTCTGGCCGTTTTTGCTGCCCTGTTGGAAAATGTTCGAAGAGCGTGCGTTTTGTCGTTGAAGTTTTGCTCGCGGCCTAAAGTGCCTTCCGGGGCTAACACAGCGTCCGTAAATTGTTTCAAAGGCGTCGTTATATCGATGAAATCTTCGACCACCCTCGATACGACAGCTTGTTGTATTCTGTTTTTCAGTTCGTACAGTTTGTGCGACAACTGACGCGCAATTTCTTGAGCACGAGGTGTATTTCCTTGACCGTGAGCGCATAAATCTCCAAGTTGATGGGAGAGGTTGTCAACTTCGTCGCAAAGTTGCAAAATTTCCGCTTTATGTATGCCTGGCAAACCCTCGGCAACCTAACGTTCAGAGTATAAATCAACTAATAAACATGCACACAAATACCGCGATACCGACAGTAATTAGAGTTAAACCAAGTTCCTATTACCAGCATTTTAGAAGCAATACTCAATTTATACACGTAACTTACACTTGCTACGTGTTGCTGATTCTTTCCATTTGCGGCATTTAAATTGTTAAAATTAAACGATAAAATTTCGCACGTAACTATAACGTATCCATACATTCGTTACAAATAAAAAAGAAAAAAAAAAGAAACGCTATAATATTCGATTTATATACCTTCTTTCCTTCCTGTATGATCAAAGCTATAGCTCTCTGACCAAGTCCTTTGTCATCATGTTGCGGATTAAGAAGCCATTTACTTGCTTGCTCCAAACGACCTGCAACCGTGTGAGCAGTTTGCGTGGTTCCAGACTTATCAGCAGCAACTATAGCAGAGGCAATAGAACTGCGAAGTTCGTTTGTTTTTTCTTTTATACCACGTGCCAAAGCTTCCGCTTGCGGCGTAGTTCCTGCGAGAGTAAAAATATTACATGAAAAAAAAAAAAAAATTTGTAAAACATATTTTACACTCGGATATGACTACGGATGTAACTGTCATGCAAACCTTTCTCATTTTGTCTTAGTTCGCAAAGCGCATTGGTCATGGTAACAATTTGCGAAGTTAATTTTTGCAATGGTTCTGCCTGCGAAGGAGGAAGATATCTCTCCGCTAATCGTTGCGCTTGTTCGACTATTTGACGAAGACTCTTCTCTCCTACTCCACCGCGTAAAGCAAGTCCATCGTCCAACCAATCGTAAGCGGCTCTTATCCTAGATTCAATAGCACTTTGTGCCTTTTTCAATACCTCGAAGAAAGAAACAGAAAGGTACGAAAGAAATATACAAATTTTAAATTCTACATAAAAATTCTACGTAAAAATTGCCGATACGTACTGTTAATTGATCAGCGTCCCATTCTTCTTCGTCGTAAGTTGTAAGTTGCAACACCCTGATAATTTCATTTAATTCATCTGACATTCTGCCAGCTAAATAATTACGATTCTCAGCTGCTTCTTCCGCGCCTTTACTTCCTTGAGAGATAATGTGAATAAATATCTTCATAGAGCAGATGAGGATCGGCGCAAGTGTTTTTACCTGTTACACATTTCAATCTATAATTTCAGTTATCAAAATTAACAAACTTTACGCGATACGTCGATTATCTTTGTACTTACCTGATCCAAACAACGCACTAGAATTTCTCTGTGAACTTGATGAGTCAACTCTTTCTCACGAGCACTTACTTCTTTCGATACTTTACTGAGACACGGACTTAAATTTTTAAGAAAATGAACTAAATCTTCCATCGTTTCGATAACTTCTGTGACTGCCAAATAGTCCAATACCCTTTTGCATTCCCTAATAATTTTACGTACTTCGCTTTCATCAAAGCACAGCAACAAAGAACTAGTTCCCTGAAGGATACCACGCGAACCTTCTATAAGCTTTTTCCTAAAACAAAAAAAAATTATATTTTTAACATAATAAATTTTTTTTAATATTTCTGATTTTATAAGATTATAAAAATAATTTTGTAACGCAAATTTTGTCTTAATTTTAATACCTAGCTGGTCCAGAATATGGGTCTTGTTTCAACATAGCAGATGCCTCTTCCAAAAGACGCGAAGCTCCTTCAACTCGTTGTAAAGCAGCAGGCATATCTTGTTTAAGCAAAGCATCGTCAGAGGAATTAATCGTTTCTTTTCCTACCTATACATTAATAAAAAATCAAAGACAGAGTATGTAAATTGTTTTAGCAAAGTAAATTTAATTTCAAAGATTAATTTACCTTAACAAGATTTGCTACTGCCATACTAACTGCTTGCACAGGCCTTCCCAAATCAGGCATTGCATTTCCATCTTCAGCTTCCTCGTGTAAGATGACAAGTCTCGAAACCTATATTACATTGGTAAACAAATTTTTTCGAAATAAACTTACAAAAATTGATCTAAATTAACTTATCTTTTAAAATTATCTTACTTCACATATATTTCAAGGATAAGCAAATATTTCTTGCAAATACATATTAATAAAAGACAATTTAATCTATGTTTAAATTAGGTACAAAGAGAACTAAATAATAAAGAAAATTTGTAATAATTATAAATATTTAACACAAACTAATCAAATAGCAAAAACCGACGATATACAATAATTTCAAAATAAAATGTATTCTAAATAATTTTTGGTTCAAGATATACATCGACACGTTAATGTCATTAATTAATTTGTGTTTTTTGCATCGAAGCTAAATTAACATTGAAGCTATACAAACATATTCTATATTCTATTTTATATTCAAATATTCCAAAGGACACCAAATTTGGAAAACATTGACAATTTCATATGTGTATCAATGTGTGGGATGATCTGAAGATTGGTTAAGCATGTCCTTTTTTGGAAATACAAAGTGATCTTGGTCTGGATGACATAGTTTTTCATAATGTGTATGCAATGTCAGATTGAATTTCATTTAAGCTAAGTTTGTACACCAAAAGTTGAATTTAGTATCTCCGCCCTATATTTGTAGAATGATGTCATAGTTCTATATAAAGAAGGACAAGTCATTTGGTAGGTCTGTCACAATAAGTATACACCATCGTTCATAAGTAACTAAAGTCAAAATAAATCGTTAAAATTATAAATTACTTTATCAATCGATACGTGTTAAATAATATATGTTTGATAAACAATTCTATTATTTTATTATATAAGTCTGACGGATCCAAAAATGTATACAAACATATTTTTTGCAGGTGAATTAAATAGAATATGAAAAATATTTGCAGCGTATTTTATATGTACATGTGTATATTATAAAAAGTAAATTATTTTTTTAAAACGAAGATAATTAAGTAATTCGTTTTATCGAGCGTCTTTTTTTTTATCTTCCTCTTTTCTGTAGTCAAACTAAGAAATATTGATGCAACATAATGTTAATAATGATCCTATAAGTCTAGTAATTAAAAGATCAAGAAATAAATATATTTACCTGCTGTGCGACAGGTTCAAGAATACTTTCTATGGTTTTTGTGTGGAATACTGGCATTTTGTTACGTTAAAACGTAAAAATACCGATTAGAACGTATCCAGACGAAACGAATTCAATTGAAAATTCAACGAAATAATCGCATGTGAAAACATCAACAACAAGAAGAACTAAACGAAATTATCTCACGAAGTAACGCGAAACAACTTATCCGACCTACTAGAATGAGAGTACGTAATTCTAGCCGTGGATGGATCACGATCAAGAATTACGATTGTACTATTCAAGAAAATCGTATCAATACAGAGAAACCTAAAGAACATTGCGTGTTCGCCTTGATGTACCACAAACTAGGTCGCGAATTTATTCCAACTTGTAAAATTTTATGAAATTCTGACAGAGTTCAAGAAAAATGTAGGATTTATTGATAATAAAGATTTTTCTTTTTATCCTAAAACCTCACGTAGCAGTATTAAGTTTCGGATTATAATGACACTAAACTAATTGCAAAACGCTAAAGTTTTATAACATTTGAGACTCCCGCCAAAATTTTAATTAGATCATCAACTAAAAATAAAATAGACCGGATATGAAATGGGATTTTGTGTCTCAGAGTCTGAAATACCGGCCAGGAAAAGAAATCACTAATTTTTTAGCGCCTTCTATGCTTAAACAACGGTGAATTGAAAAACTATACCAAGTAAAATAATATGATGCAGAATCTGCCTAAATATATATCGTGTTCCAAACATGTGCCACAAAAAACATTGATTGTCTGATCTATCTAGTTAGTTAATGATCAAATTCGTAATCATAATCATGATTTGTCAAGGCGGATGCACAACAAGACGTAATGAAGTTAGTATTAGGAATACTCGTGAGTCGTACGGTACGTCTGAGAGAAAACAACGAATTTTTATGTTGTTGACAATTATTAATTACATAAAATGTGTAAGATTTTTGAATTACAAATTACAGGGCAAAACTTTAAGATTTGCAAATTTATTTCCAAACGTTATATTATATTTATAAATTTTAATTTTATGTCAATTTTATGTCAGCAGAGGTTAATGAATTAAACGAAATAATTTATAATATCAATCCATCACGAAGAATATCGCAGAAAACGTCGAAACTTGGCTTGTATCTTATCGGGATAACAGGTAATATAACAAAAAATGTATCAACATCTGTAAATTCATTCGTATAATTTTTTTTTCAGGAGGCATTGCAACAGCTATCAGTGTAATATGTATTCCATTTGTGAGCCCTGCGTTTCGCAAAGTATGTTTACCTTATGTACCAGCAACATCTCAGCAAGTAAAAAATGTGTTGCAAGCTTTAGAAGGACGTACCGGTTCTTTGATTGATCTTGGAAGTGGAGATGGACGTATAGTAAATATTTCTTTGCTATAACACATTTCGTTACATAGCACAGTTCATGTCACTATATGTCAAATTACAATGACTTTATGCACAGGTCTTTGCAACGGCAAAAGCAGGTTTTAAAGCCCATGGAATTGAATTAAATCCTTGGTTAATATGGTACTCCAGATTGAAAGCTTTAATCAATAAATCGTCGTCACAAACCAAATTTATAAAACAGAATTTATGGAAGCATAACTTAGACAAATATAACAATATCGTCATATTTGGTGTTGATCAAATGGTAAATCTTGTTTATTTTTTATTTTATTTTATTTGTTATTATTTTTTATAATTCTGTTCTATAAAATATAACAGCACAGCATACTTTCAGATGAATGATATCGAAACAAAATTTATTAAAGAGTTGCAAGAAGATTCTGTCATAATTGCTTGTAGGTTTCCACTTCCTACTATAAGTGAAATAAAAACAATTGGCGAAGGTGTTGATACCGTTTGGGTATATAAAATTTCAAAAAATTTAAAATAGTATAATTAGATATAAATTGAAATATTTATAAACATTGTAAATATGTAATTACAAATAAATTATTCCGTCTATTCTCATAAATCATGATACATACACGTTATAATTAGTTTTCAGCAGACTGTCGAATAAATAAATTTTTATAATTTATATATTATAAAATTTGCATATTAGTATCTATATACATTTTTATCAGTTAATTACATATTTTACATTCATATAGTATTTGTCATATAGTATGGTTATATTCATATATATAATTTTAATAATCTGAATCTTATGATTAATCATATTATAATATTTATAAAATTTAAATTTGAGTATTTTTAATATTCTGTAATGAAAAATTGTGCTACTAGATTTAAAAATCCAAATATTGGAATACTTATGTGTAATAACGTAGAAAAGATCGTCAATCTTTTTTGTTGTTTCAAAATTGCCAGATATAATAAACTTGGTAAAGTAAAGATATAAATAAAACCGCTAAAGGCACCTGTATATCGTATTATTGTACCAATATATGGTATAAATACTGCGAATAAAATGCATATAGATACTAAAACAACATTGATTAAAATAACATAATTTGTATTAAATGTCTTACATATTGACATAAGTAATTGAACACGTAGCATATATGCAAGTAATGGATAAACAGTTAATAATTGAAATAAAAGAACAATTCGAACACCTACTGTTAAGCCGTTCCATTTTTGAAAATTATTTAATAAATTCTGTAAAAAAAAATCAATTTTATTTTTCATCTTTTTTTTTCTAATAGCATGTTGTTTAATTTGATATTTTACTTACATCTTCTATGCATAACTTGCTCAGTGGAAAACAAATATAAAATACTACACCTACTATGATATAAGTTGAAGTAACCAAAAGATAAGCTATTGAAAGATCTCTTCCCTGTCAAAGACAAAACTTCTCAATAATTTAATTGAATTTATAAAGAAAAAAAAAATAACATTATTTACATTTTTGCTTTGATCATGATTATTCTGCATTATAGTAATTACAATGTTGTGAATGAAAAATGATAATGCCAACATTCCAGAGAGTGCAGGAAATGACAATTTCAATGTCCAACTCGTGGTCCATTCTATTTCATTCATATTAATACCCCATGAGTATGATTTAATCAAAACAAAGATAATTAAATATATAACTGACACAGTTCCTATGAGATACACGAAATCATAATTTCATAAGTTAAATAGACCTAAAAAAAAATGTTAAATTATTTACATACTTACCAAGCGAATTAAATTTTGTAAAAAAAGTTGGACTATTAAAATTCAAAAAAGGAAATATTAATAAACCAAGAAAAATAGGAACTGTTTTATATAAATCCCAAAATGGTCCTAAAGTATTGTATGTATAATCGTGAATTACTAAATTTGTGCTATTATAGATTATTCTTTTTGGACATAGCACTAGAATGAAAATAAATAATTATATTAATCTTATAATGTATATAATGAATAGAATATACTTACCTTCTGATGCATACGAAATATTATCATTTGCAGAATATTGAGATACTATACTATCTATAAAAAAAAGCATTAAATTTTTGAAATTTATATAAAAAATACAGTATTTTAAGTATTTTATGTATATTTACCATATATGAAATTTACAGAATTATATAAGAAATTAGACATTAGGACCCAGTAAGCTATTGTTGCACCTAGCAAAACTGCTATACTAAAAGTTTTGGCAACATATTCTATCCATTTGTTAAGATATATCCGACATAACTGAATTACTTCAATACCTTTTTGTCCATCTAAAATATTAAGTAACATCATAAATATATTGCTGTTATTAAGTTTTTAAAATATAAATAAAAAGAATGAAAGAAATTCATTACCATAATATTTATGTACAAGTAGAAGACAATAAGCAGTATATAGACATAAACCGCTCATTACAAGTATTAAAATAATACCGGGGAAGAAACCAGCCATTTGAATACCCCATGGTATTGTTAATAAAGAGGAGCCTAATATTGTGTTCCATATCGAAAAGCTACAATACGTAATATATAATATATAATTACAAGTATTAATCATTTATTTAAAATATAAAATATGTAAAATACAAAAATACAGAAAAAGAGACTTAAAAGTCACAATTCTAAAAAAAATTAGGAAAGATATGATAATGATTGCTGATATTATAACAGTATGGATTGCCTATGGATATATTACATATTCAAAAAATTCTTTTTGTCCAAATATTCTGTAAATTAACACTAAAATACTAGTGACTAGAAAAATATATTATGTATTATTTATTTTATATATATACATATTTTATTATATATTACATGTATTTACAGATTATATATATCCAAAGAAACAAATAACTTATTATCTACATTTTTCATATATATATATATATATATATATATATATATATAGCGTATAGTATATATATAATATATATAATACATATATGTACATGTATATGCAAAGAAACAAAGAAACAATATGAAAATCTACAAGATTTTTTGGGAAAAAAATTATAAATAAAAATTATTAATTATTTTGAGAATTTTCGTATTAATATTCATCGAAATCGTAGCATTCTACATTACGCATATATTTTACAAAAGTTACAAAAGTTCCAAAAATATTCTTTCGTAAATATTGACAAAATATTGGGGGAAAATTGCAAAATAAAAATTATTAGTTATTTTAAGAACTTTGATAATTTTTGTATTAATATCCATCGAAATTCGATCGCAGCATTTCGTGTGGTTAAGTACTAGCTACGGGCATTGACCTTTCGGGTGGCCGTCTGTTACCCAGGCAACCGACGGAGCACTAACCCCTTCTAATGTGAATATACCGTGTAGTCGTCACAACCACCCGATGGTGGTCGAAACGTGAGCGACTATTAACCATATTCTTTTAACAATCCTTCGTTTTCATATCTTAAAACCATGCATCCACCTTCGTCTGTTACGTTTCTTCTTTTCTTCTGTCTTTTCTTTTTTTTTAAAAGTGAAATAACCCAACGTATCAATGTGCACAACTTAAAGTTTCTCTGTTTTATGTTATCATTAGGTGTGTGCTTTTAAGATGTGAAAATGAATGATAGTGTATTCAGCTCTTAAATGTTAATTAAAACACATAATATATGTAAATAGTAGTGAAATTTAATGTCAGAGAAATAAGTTTCAATATCCTTTGAGATTTAATTTTAACGAATGGAATTTCGATTCATGCAGGTAAGTTTCTTCTTTTTTACATGATGTGATGATATTTTGTAACAATGAAATATCAAAGTTTAGACATTTAATTAGTTTCATTAATATTCGTTAGTTTTACTAATTTCTTTTGTTTTTAAATTTCAAGTTAATTTCAGAAAATTAAAAATTTGCAAAACTTTTTTATTAAAGATTTTTTTATTAAAGATTCGGCGAAAATATCATAAATAATGTGTATACCATTGAATGTGCAATTTAAATAGATTGAGGGCATGAAAATTGTTATTAATCATGATATAATATAAGTTATTTTTTATATGCATCTATCAGACATAAGTGAAGAATGAGGAAAATGATGTATTGCTAAAAAGAAGCAAATTATCTTCTGTGTTCAAAATGCATGTAAGGAATTTCTGATGCAAGATCTCATTTTTCTCTCATCATCGACCTACTAAAAATATGACTACCAAGAGATAACAAAAAATTTATGAACACGATTAGATTTCTGAACACTAAGAGAATTGACCCAGAACCCTTTCTTGATGATAACGTGATAGCTGATAATAATTTATAATTAATACTATATTATGCTATTGGTGCTAAATTTATCAGTGTAATTAGTAAAAACTTTCGTTTGCTAATCAACAATCATGTGAAATGTAAGATTCTAGAAATATCCTTCTATAATTCTAAAATAACATAATCCAATATGAATAACTAAGTTACTTACATTGTGACTATAGAGCTTTGTTTTGATTTAATATCCTTGCATGTTTCCACAATCTCCACAGTTTCCTATTGCAATAAAACTAAGATAAAAATTTATCTGTAATTTGTTCTATGAAGGCTGTTTGTATTTTAATTCCTATATTTTTATTATTGTAATGTATACAATAAGATAAAAATTTTAAAAATCTTAATACAAAAACTTTTATAACTATTTCTACTTTTATAACTATTGTACTACTAAGAATTTTAAGTTTAAGCAATATTTTTTTACTAAATAGAATTTAATAACTGCGGTAGAATTAAATTAGATAGTTAATGTTATTTTCATGCATTTCAAACTATCTAACCTCGATGAATATTATAGCAAAAGACATAACTTTATATTGTTTGTGGTATTCTCACCAGATCGGTATTATGGATTTCATAACATCTGTCTTGTATTACACTTAAGGAGGAAGAGGTATTTAATACTAAAGGTGTAACTAAAGTATGATCATCGGTAAGGGGTGGTGGTCTCTTTGGTACTTGTATAATGTTAGAATGTCGACTACAACTTCCTAAACTACCATACCTGTGAAAAATATTTATGATAAGCAATTATTATTTATAATAACATTGATAGTGACGCTTGGCAGAAAAAGCAATACTCGTCTTATTTATAATAAACGGAATTATTGTTAAAAGACGATAAGAAAAATTTAGTACTTGAAATGACTATTCGTAGAAGTGCTCTCTAAATCACTAGTCTCAGAGTCTTGAAATATAACAGGTTCTACACTAGTGTGAGATTCTGAAGAAAGTAAAGGTGCGCTTTCAGATCCACTGTCATGGTGTATGATGCAAGGTTCCCAATCATTCATACATTTATACATGTTATATTTAATTTATGCATATGCATATGATATAAATGAAACTACCAAAGTAAAAACATATATTATTAAACATTTACATTATATACTCTTAATTGTACATGACACAAAAATTACTTACTTGTAATACATATCATTATATGCATTCATATAAAACGCAAAAGTTTTTTGAAATTCACATAACTTTTTGAAATTTAATGAATCTTAATCCTCGTAGAAAGTACAAAACCAAGAATTAAACAGATAAAACTGAAATTTTATGTTTTTGTTACGTTTTATTTAAAGTATCAAAACCATAAATCCATTTATATTTAAAAATTTCACTTATTTCTAAGATACTGTATAATTATTCTATAAACGATACAACTTGTAATATAATTTATAATCCAACTTTTAAAGCATTCACACTTTCACGAGTGAAACTTCAGGAAAACTGTTGTTTTAAACAACTAAACGTCTGTTTTGTAAACCCGCGTTCTTATATCGGACATCCTTGACATAACAAGCTCCCTCCTCCTCATTTTTCTTTACTAATGCTGATCGACAGCATAAGTAAATCATCGTCTACGCGTGCGTGTATTTTTTACTTAAATTTTTTTCCTCTGAATTTTCGAATATTCCAAAGAAAAAAGATATCTCTAATAAGAGAAGATATAAGGGATTCAAATGTTGTAACATATCTTTCCATTTAGAGAAATAGTTAATCTTTTCTTCGATATTAAATGCAGACGTTATGTATGACTTTATACTTTGTAATTTTAATATATAAAAATGAAATTTAAATGTTGTTTATCAAAACCATATAAAACGTAAATAATTCACTAATAAATATTTGATAAGCAAAATTTTTCTTTATAAGTCTACGAGTCTACTTTCTTATCAGACTAAATTATCTCGTGTAGTCGATAATTTTAATTCTAAAATAGATAATAGAAAATAGGTTTTTACAATTAAGATAAGATTCTTGTTCTAAATATTATGCGTCAACTTAATTACGAATACGAAATGAACGTGGAAAATTCTCTGTTTAGGATCGTTGATGACTAGCTTGCTTGATCATATTTCTCGAAAAAAGTGTAATATCACGTTAGCGTAGCACTATTAGCTTAGGAACATTGAATCATGCCCTTATAGACGAGAATATTCTAGAGAAAATTTGTGTACACTGAATTTAAACTTATTTGTTTAAGATAATAATGTGATAATATTCATTTGATTTATCATTTTTGTTCCTTTACCTTGCGTGATTCATATTATACGAGAGTTACCATAAAAATTAATAAGACATCAAACATAAACTATAATCATTGAAATTCATTGTCAAACGTTTACGTCTTATTATCGTTGTTATACTACATAGAATATTAGTGTATCGCGTTTGAAAGATCTATCGTCATAAAGCCGATATTATTAGTCGGTGGTAAAGCGCGGGCGCAATGTTTCAAGATGGGTGACCCGTGCCCTTGTGTGTCATTGGTAGACAAAGTTCAGTCTGCTAGCAGACACCGAGGACGTGTTATGAAATTCGCGAAGCTGAAATCTTTTTCTGTTTGAATACAGTTACGGAAATAATTATATATTTTATTCCAGTTGATGCTACATTAAGTGTAATATTTGAAAAATGTTAAGCACGGTGACGAGCAAAATTATAGAAACCCGAGTATATGATGGGCAAAAGCCGGGTACGTCCGGATTGCGAAAAGCCGTGCGGATATTTATGCAAGAACATTATACGGAAAATTTTATTCAAGCAATATTGCAAGCTCTTGGGGAACAATTGCTTGGTAGTACGTTAGTCGTTGGTGGCGATGGAAGGTATTATGGGAAAGAGGTAGTTAAAAAAATCATCAGGATTGCAGCAGCCAATGGAGTAAGTTGTATCTAAGCTTATAAGTGTATAATCACTCGCTTGATGTAACGCTTTTTCATTTGATCAAACAAGTTTTTTATTTTATTGGTTATGTATCATTTATTTTAATCATCATTGCGCTAGGTAAAGAAATTAATAGTCGGGCAAAATGGAATACTTTCGACTCCAGCTGTGTCTACTATAATAAGAAAATACAAAACTTTAGGTGGAATTGTCCTAACAGCGTCTCACAATCCTGGTGGACCTGATGCTGATTTTGGTATTAAATTCAATTGTGAAAATGGTGGCCCTGCTCCGGATAATGTCACAAACAAGATTTATGAGACTACTAAAGTGCTCAAAAATTATAAAATTATACCTGATATAGCTGTAGATATAGACAAGATACATAGTACTACAATTCAGGTGGATGAAAATCCATTTACAGTAGAAATAATAGATTCTGTGGATGATTACTTGGAACATATGAAGAATATCTTTGACTTTTTTAGTATTAAAACATTGTTGCAAGGAAGTAATGATCGTCCTGCTTTTAAAGTTCTTATCAATGCAATGAATGGAGGTACATAAAACTTAATTGATAAATTTAATTATTTGATATTTATTGAAAGTTATTTGATAATTTCTAGTCACTGGTCCGTATGTAAAACGAATATTTAGTCACGAATTAGGCGTTGATGATTCAAGTATTGTTAATGCAACTCCGTTAGAAGATTTCGGTGGACTTCATCCTGATCCAAATTTAACGTATGCCAAAGATTTAGTAAATGCTATAAAAAATGGTCCGTATGACTTTGGTGCTGCTTTTGACGGAGATGGAGACAGAAATATGGTAAATAATATATTTAATTGATATGAGAAATAATTAATATGAAAGAATATAAATTTATGCGTGACATCCTTGTAGATACTAGGCAAAAATGCTTTCTTTGTTACACCTTCTGATTCGTTAGCTGTATTAGCTGCCAACTTAAATTCAATACCATATTTTAAAAAGACTGGTATCAAAGGATATGCTAGATCCATGCCAACAGGCGCTGCGGTAGATAGAGTTGCAGTTAAAACTGGTGTTAAATTATATGAAGTACCCACAGGCTGGAAATATTTTGGTATATGTTAATTTTTGCACGTGTCTTTATAATGTATTTTGAATATTGAATTATTTATTATGTTTTGTCATTAATATTATGTATAATGTAGGTAATTTAATGGATGCTGGTCATCTGTCACTCTGTGGAGAAGAAAGTTTTGGGACAGGTTCAGATCATATTCGCGAAAAAGATGGAATATGGGCTTGTCTCGCGTGGCTTAGTGTAGTTGCAAATCTTGGAAAGTCTGTAGAAGATGTATTATTAAATCATTGGCAGACGTATGGAAGGAATTTCTTTACAAGGTATTATTTTTATCATATTGCTTATGCTTAATTATTGTACTCTATTTTGTAAATAATGTTCTAATTTTCGTTATAACCAGATATGATTATGAAAACTGTGATTCTGAAGCTGCAAATAAAATGATGCATCACGTTGAGTCAGAAATACAGAAACCTGAATTTGCGAGTTCAAAATTAACATCTGGAAGTAAAACATATGTCGTAAAATTAGGCGATAATTATTCGTATGTAGATCCTATTGATGGAAGCCAAGCTAGTAAACAGGTATTGTATATCTATAAATCTATCTATAAATATATCTATAAAAATTATATCTATAAATTCCATATACTATGACAATATCATACCAGTATGGATTACTACGTAATTTTATATAACAGGGGTTAAGAATTCTATTTCAAGATGGTTCTCGTATAATTTATCGTTTATCTGGTACGGGAAGTTCTGGAGCTACTATTCGCGTGTATGTCGATAGCTATGAAGATGATCCAGCATCTTTGAACAAAGATGCTCAAGAAGTTCTTAAACCATTGGTTGCTATTGCGTTAGAAATAAGTAAATTACGCGAATTTACTGGTCGTGATGCGCCAACCGTAATTACATAATACGTGAGTTCTTTATCGTTATCAAATCGTACATACATGAAACATTATAAGCAACTTTTATAATGACATCAGTGAGTTGCAATTATCATTCAAAAGATCGTTACATAAACGCATACCGTGTATAAATCACAAGTTCGATAAAATTCTTCCTAAAGATATAGAAGATATAGATAGATAGAATTTATATAACATTCAATAATAAATATTTATATGATTTCGATATGAAATTCGAACATCCATTGCAATAATAAAGCTTGTTTAATTATGAAATATCGTAAAAATTTTTTAATAATGTAATTCATAATGTCGCATGTACGGGTATCGATGTTAAAAAATATCCAATGTTAGGAAAATGAACGGTAGCTTCATGTTTCATATCTTTTTATACAAAATTTTTTCAAATTTTTCATTTAACTATAAAAATATTAACTCTGGTATGGTTGTTATACAAAAAAATAATTTACTAAAACAAAATTATACTTATATATAGGAAAATCCAAAAGAATATAGAATCAATAACGAATCTAAGATCACGCGCATCTTTATACGTGGAACTGTTGTTTGCCAAAGGTGTTCAAGCATGCATAAAGATGGAAATAGTTTGACCCTTCGTTATTTGTATAATGTTACATGAAGTTATAAAAAATACTTTTAAGTTTAGAATTAAATGTTGGTTTTAAAGTATAATTTTTTTGTTATAAAAAATATTAAATATAATTGAATTTTTTTATGTGTAAAGTAATAAAGAATCCATATATATATAACATTGTACAATTTTTGTCGAAGGGTTAACAAAAAAAAAAAGTAACTTCGATTATGGTTGAAAATAATATATTATATTATCAATTTTTAACTATCTTTTTATTCATTTTATGATTCTTTTCTTTTTTTTATTAAGATGGCAGTTGCTCTTTTTAATGATAAGAACGAAGTTTGCTATAAATTTCACAATATTATTTTTACAATACTATAAAGTTGTAAAATGTAATTCACTTCGATATAATTTATATAAATGAAGGCACAACGTATAAAAAAGTTTGTAAGTTATGTAAAACACTTTATTTAAAGACAGTTAAAGCTCAATACAAATTGCGCATGAAAAATGTAAATAATTGTAAAATGTTAATTTTTATAATCAAAATAGAAAATTTATTTTATACAAAAATGTTTAAAACATATGTAATTTATTTTTTATTATCTATAATTGATTTATCAAAATTCTACATTGTAAAATATTGTCTATGTACATTTAAAAATTTAAATATTAAATTTGAAAAGTAAATTTTTTTTAAATATTTAGTTTTATAGATGCCAGTTCCGTTTAATTGGAAAATATTACTAGCTTTTTACATTACATTATTGCTGTATATTTTTATTAGCTATTTTTTTTATTGATAATTATTTCAAATACCATGTAATGTAATTGTTTAGTTCTATTTTACTTATTTATATGGCATAAACAAAACAATTATGATATACATTTTTTGTTTTATGCTTTGATTATAAAACGAAATATGAATTGATAAATTAAACCAAAAGCAGGGATGCATGAAGACAGCGCTATTTCAAATTTCCAAAAATCATGGAAAAAATATTTTTCAATATCATGATTTAGTGAAATTTGAAATTATGAATATATTAGTGTAGATTGAAAGTTTTTGCTAAGATATTCGGTATATTGCAATAATGGCGTATCATGAAAATGAATATAAATAACTTTTATATAAATCTGTTTCATTTTACAATTTTATAAAATATGCCGACTATCTTATTCAAATTAATTGATAGAATAGGATATACCTAAAAATTTGTAAAAATAAAATCAATAAGATTGTAAAAATGTAAATGATAAATGCAAGAAAAAATATAAAACTTAATTGGTATATGTAACAAAATTTATAACTGATATAATCAATTGAAAAATTATTATAAATCTTATGATATAAAAAGTAATTATTTTTCTATACGCATTACTTTTTTATTAATGTAATATTTTCGAGTATTTTGCTTTTTTTTCTAAATATTATATTCGCCATGAAAACAAACTCTGGAAGGAAAATATTGTAGAAATTTAATTCAGAAGTTTTAATTTACGAAAGTATATATTACAAGATCATTCGTCTCAATTACATTTATTCATATTGCATATAAAGTTTTAAGTAATGGCAGTATGCAGCAATATATTTATGGAAGTGGAATGTATTTCGTAAAGTGAAATTATAATATTGTATTGATATATTGGTGAAAATTTTAAACACATTGTTGAACAATTGCAGTACTTTTTGAAAGAAATTCAAGAAGAATTTTGTAAATATAGTTAAAGGAAAGGAGGATACTTGGGGACCTGAGTCGACGCAACGCCTATTCAATCTCATAGTTATATCATAAACATGAAAAAAAACTAACTCATTTATACTCAATATCTTTGTCATTTTATTATTAATTTGTACATTGTCGATTGTTGTCAGTGATTGATATATTAATATATATACACGTGATATTAATATATTAATGCATTAAGTAAAAACAGCAAAAATTGAAATATAATTAACAAATAGATGAATTGATCTATCAAGTATAAATGAGTGGAAAAATTTTGGATATAAAATTTTTTATTCATGTTTTGTGATGTAACATGAATATGTAATACGGCAATGTGTCATAGAGACCAGCAATGACTGCCGATTTTAATGTAAAATTATTAACATGTAATATGTATATCATATTGAAATACTAATTATTCATTGTAGGTATATGAATGAGTGGTTCTTCATAAACACGTGATCTTAGATTTCAAACACAAAGATTACCAATTGTTAAATAGCATGGACTTTTCTTCATTTATTAATATCTTTTCTTTTACGTGATGCTATTATTTCGAATATTTATTTAACTGATGATTAAAATATAGGAAAAGCCATATCAGAGATGCGTCTCAGAACATTATATTATTTCTGTAAGGTCTATATTATAAAATACGCGTTGTTCGTTGTTAAAACGCAGATTCTAATGTATGCTAAACATCAGACATAGACCGCATCGTCAGGCGAATTTCGTGAGGATGCATGACGTTACATCATGTCACCGTCATTCTATTCCTACATCACTTGCACGCGTCATGCGACAAGTTATGTCTTACGTAATGTAGACTACCATTTATAATCAAATGTTTTTTCAATAAAAAAATGTTCATAGTATTTTCTTTCAAGAAAATAAATAATAAATTATTCGATATAAATTAAATTTTTTAAACAAAATCATTTTAAAAAATAATAAAATTTAATAAAAACACGAAACGATATTTAAAAGATTATTTATTCATATAATTATTGTACAAAACAATGTTCCTTTTTGTATCAGTTACTAATAAAAGTAATTTTACGAAAATTTTAAACGTTGTAAATATTTTGTAATCATATAAATATAAACAGAATACAAATAAGATACGAAATAAATACAAATGGAATACAAAATCAATTTAACAATCGCTATCATCTATCTCAGGTATGAAGAATATTGATGAGATTGTCTGATATATATTTTTTTTCGCAATTGAAGTCCTAATGTATCATCAATAGGTAGTTGAAATAATCAATATTTTTCAAATTTATTTAGTATTATTTAGTCTATGCAGTAAATTTGGTTTAATCAGTAGTATTTTTCAATCATCTACTAATGCTTTAATCTAATCTAACAACTGTTATTTGTTTTCCCATCTCCATTTATCTATACTAGATCACTAGATTGTATAATAGATTCTATAATACATTACATACAAATATTAGGGGACATGGATATGAAGCGATAAAAAAAAGAAACATTTGATTTTTTTATTAAGCAAGAAAAGCAAACGACATATCAAAGAAAGTTGTTTGATTATGCAAATGAGATGCGAAGTCAATTATCGTGGTTGAGTAGCAATTTTTATCGTTTCATATTCATTGAAATATTCCCTTTCAATTTTTATGAGCAGTCATGACATCATTAACCATAACTATTAACCATATTTCTTTCCTTTATTTTTTCGACTATGCAACGCTGCATACAAATAATCTAAACCTGATTACTTGAATAAAATATGTATTTTGCTCATTATATTTGCAATTGAATACACTAATAATTCCACGATTTTTAATAAATCGATTTTTACTGAAAAAATATTTTGTTACATAAAATTTTGCTTTTTCGTAAACATTTTGACATACTTCCGGTTTGATATAATCCAAAATGGAGAATTCTTTGAATAATATAGAACACGAAAATGTTGACGAAAAATATTCTAGTTTTTGTTCTTCTTGTAATTCCGCCTTGCAATCTATATGTAGCATCGGAATACCATCATTTTATGAATTAAATAGTGAAAATAACCTAATATCTAAAATTGAAAAGAATGAAGATATTACAAAACATATCGGAACGATAAATGTAAATGAATGTACATTGGATGATTGTATTGAAGAAGAAATTTTTGTTAAAAATACTGACACTTCTAAAAATTTAATGGTAGCAATGAAACATCATACATACGAAAAAGAAGAAATTAACAAAAATGATGATAACAAAATTGGTTGTTTCATAACGAAAACATTTAAATATATTGAATCATCACCTACAGTAAATATAAATTTACGTTTAAAATTATCTTTGTTAAATTATTCATGTTCAAAAATAATTGAAACAATAAGATAATTTCTAATAAAGCAATATCCATTAATTAGGGTTCTGAAAGAAAAAAAAAACATATTATTTTATGTGACAATAAAAATAAAACTTTCACATCGGAAACAGAGATATTAAAATTTACAAAAAAGAATACATCACCTAGCAATGATGATATTTTAGAAGATATTCAAAATCATCGTAAAGAAATACTTAGAAATATTAAATCAATATTGTATCTTTGGTGAGTATTTGGAAATATACAAATCATATTTTCAAGTTTTTAATTTATTATTTCTTTCTTTCTAGTAACTATATTAATATTATGCGTGAGGTTATACTTCAACAAATTCATAAGAAACAGTCCAATGAAAGACGTCAGAAAGTTATTCTCAGAGATAGATAAAATTTATTATATAACAAATATTATATAATATTTCAATATAAGAATCTTCATAATTATTAGGAATTAAAAATTTCAATTGTTTTTATTTGTTTCATGCCATATCAAAGTCATCTCTCTGTAATATAACAATGTACAAAATTAATAAACACAGTAAATACAAAGAAACATATTATAGGACATGGATGTATACTTACAGCATCGTTGTATTCCAATACATATTTCTTAATAGCAGATGTGTCCACCCAAGTAACAAAATCTTCCAAGTTTCTAGAAAAATAACATTTAAAAAAATTATAAGGCATATGTGCCAATTATTAATTGATTGTCTTACTCTTTTTTTATTATTTTAAAGTATTTAGTTTAGTTTACCTTGTGACCAGAAAAGCTGGATCTTTTACAACTTCTGTACCAACTCTAACATGACCTTGTTCTATTAATTGTGTTGCCATTTTTAAATTTTGACTCATTTTATTTCGTACCATAACAACTGGCAATCGTCTTCTACAAAATGAACTTGCGCTGACTTTTTGCGTTAGTAATAAATCCCATTTTGTTGCTATAAGTCCCATTATATACAATTTTTCCAACAATAACGCACTCTGTTCTATTCGAAATGGATGTTCCGCATCAATTTCTTTAATTTTTTTCCCTAATTCGCGAATTTCTCGTGCTAATTTATTATACCTGGAATAATTGAAAATTTGTTATTTAACTGATATTTAATTAATTTAATATAATTTGATGTTAGTAAAACTACAATAGACTTACTTCGTATAGTCGTCTCTTTTTTGTATTCGATAACGTTTCAGAATTTTCACTTCGTGCAGATTGTTATCTGCTTCCCATGATATAAAATCGACTTTCTTCAGCAATTTTTGTTCGTGATATTTTAATTTTCGTACCATGATTGTGTGAGAAACGGGAATAACAGTAGGGAGATAAAGCGATGAAAATTTGATTAATAAGGAAAGATATCTACTTTGATTCCGATATTTTTCGATGCATATTTTGATATTTTGTGAATAAATGACAATATCTATATATTTATAATTATTCTAGGCTTAACTTCACTTTGTTACAAGAAAGATTTCAGATCTCAGTTAACCTTTTTGCATTTTCGATGTAAAACAATAAAATCACGTGGTTCATGAATTCGTAAAACGCATCACGAAGTAGTACTATTAATTCTCGTATAACTCGTGTAGCAATGGAAACAAAAAGGTACAATTTATGACGTCACGCATCCCCATTTGCTTCCCGTTCTGGCAACACTGGTGTGAGATGAATGTATAGACTTCGTAGGACGTCATGAATATACTTTATTTTTGGTATAGAGGTTAAGTTTTCATATAAAAGGAGATTAGATTATGTATTTATATAATATTAAAATTTTTGTTATATGTTCTCTTTTATTTAATAATTAAATGAAGCAATCAAGAAATAGGATTTATATTTATCAAGTTCATATAATTATATGATATAACATATTATTTAATAATGAATAAGAAAGATCGTAAAGTAGAGCCTGGTGATGGTTTACGCTCTTTAAAAAGTACAATGTTATTTCGTGCAGTTAATTATGAATTATATATTAGACCGGTAAGATTATTGTACAAATTAAAAATTATATAAAGTTCAATAAAATCATATAAATTATATATACTAACAAAATATGAGTGTATATTGTTGATAAAAATAAAACAACCGAATTTATTTTTCAGAATAAAATGGTAATGATGTTTGGAGCTATCGCAATATTCAGTTGCGTAGGATATATTATTTATATGCGATATAATTCTAATAACGCGAAATATTATTCTGCGATTACATCTGATGGGTCAGTTGAGTTTAAAAAGAAAACATCAAAATGGACAGTGTAGTTTACTGCATTTTATGTAAATAACAATTACGTTTAACAATTTACGTTACATAATTACTATTTGTAATGTTATTTATATACTACAGCTCGTTTCATTGCTAATTGCTTATTAGGTATTATTCCCTGTACATCTCAGTGATATGTAAACAAATGTATTTAACAATCCAACATCCTCTGTAAAAATATTTTGCTGTAACAGTTTTAAGTTCTCCAATTTTTATTATATTTAAAATTTAAAATTGGTGTAAATTTTAGTAGTTCATTAAAACTAGCATACTATTATTTCGATAATATTTATAACTTCAACAGAATTATATATTGTTTTATAAAATATGAATATTGCATTCTGTATTACATTTATTTCATATATAAACACGTAGAAAATTAACTTTTCTCACTGCATCATTCAAGTTATCATTTTTGGCAGTATGTACAAGGTCGTTTAAAATTTGAAATACAGTTAGGTATGCTACAATGAACAGTTTTTGTTAATATAATTACAACGCTACAACGAATGCAGGAAAATATCATTTATGTATATCTTGTACTAGAAGGAACAAATGTTATGGAGTATAATTTTAGAACCAATTACGTTCGTTCTAGCATATACCATGATAATTTTTACAAAAATTTAAACGTTCTGAATTGGTCCAGATGTTTAACTAAGGAGTGTTCTAAGTTTAAATTACATAACAACGTTACTAAAAATATATGTGTATATTTTTACGTATATATGTATGCCTATGTGCACACGCGCGTGTATATAGATTTTTATGTAAATATTAAAAATGTATATCTGTAATATTTTCCTTCATGTGATCTGTAAACGCTTAAAATATTAGTAATATCTAGAATATTTAAAAAATTAATAGAATGCACTAACATAAGAATGCTATTATAAAACATAAAATTAAAATATCTGATCGAATTTTTACCCAATATTTTTGGAAATGAAATGTAAAACATTATTACGATAAATTAATTGTATGTTTTATCGATTTTAATTGAAACCTTCATTTTGCACTTTATGTAAATTGCAAACTATTGGAACTATTTAAGATACAAAAGATAAGATAGTTTTTACATGAGATTATGACATCTACAAATATTGAACAAAGTTATGTACTCTTTTTAGAACATTCCTTTCTTTTTCATTCATCTGTTATACATGTACATATTAATTGTATAACTGATTTCAAATCCGAAAAAATATAGTGTCTGAATTTCTTTTTATGTATGATATATACATAAAAGAAAACTATAATCATTATTTTATTTGGAAGATAGTAAACAAGATCTAACTATAATTAATAGTTTGTATTGAATTTTAATAATTTCAGATTTAAATTTCTGTGAACAAATCGCTTATTATTAAAATAATAGATTAGTATTTTTCATTACTCATCGATATTTTCGTCAATAAATCGTATTTATACATATTAATTTATTGTTAAAGATATGGCGATATAATTGAATATAAGATACTGTATAAAGATAATATTTTATAAAGCATATTCGTTGGTAGAAAAATTGTATTTAAAAAAATATTCTTGGAAATATGTAAAAAATATTTCTATTTTTATCTATAATAAGAATGATTACTTAGAATGTAAAGTAGTTTTAAAAACTTGGTCTCATTCTTTGATAATATCAGTGATGTGATATACATGTATATATTATAGTTCTGAAATTATTTACAAGGTTATTGTTATACATATGAAATTCAAACATTAGTCGTCTATGAAATATATATAATTTGTAACCATCTCTTCAACAAGTTTTAGAAAATATTTGTTCACATAGTCAATAATATTATATTTTTAAAACAGAGCTTATTAATGAGTTTTCTAATTACATTAAGATTGATAAAAACATTAAAAAATTATTATATCAAAATGAACTTCTATTGTGAATGTTTTTTATTTCTCTATGAACTCAACGAAAATCATTTTAATAATAAGCGATTATATTTACACATAAAATTTAATGTATTAAAATTTGGCAATTCATAATACTTTGTTGGTATTTTGTACTTTCATGGATAAGGCGATTTCCAACAAAATGTATCGATTTCTGTATGAAATAGAGTTTACATTAATTTCTAATCTTTTAGAATAGAGAATTAATGCAGATAATGTACCTCATTAAATAAACATTATAATAAATTAAATCAAGGAGCAGAACTGTAACAAAAACATAACAAAAAATACCGATATAGATAATTTCTGTGATTTTGATATAACTTCAATGCATATAAAATATTGCCATATTTCAACAATTTTCTCAATAACAATTTATACTTATTACGATGTAACGTCTGATCCGAACATTCATTTTAACATGTACAATTTTCCTTATTATGTGGATACAGCAGAATAGTTTCATAAATTGCATTTGCCACGTAATCTAAGTTAGATTCATTAAGTCCACACATATTTATTCTACCGCTTCGTAACATATAGATGTGATAATTATTAATTAAACATTCAACTTGTGTTTCTGAAATAATGGTTACCTCATTAGTAAGATAAAATATAAGATAAAACAAGTGTGATAAAATCATTTTTTTGAATATTTACCGCTAAGGCCTGTGTAAGAGAACATTCCTATCTGTTGAGTAATATGTTCCCAATTACCAGGAGTTCCTTTTTGAATTAATTTTTGATATAAACTCGTTCGCATTTCCTTTATTCTACTGGACATAGTGACAATATGATCTTTCCTGAAATATTTTAATATTGTAGTAAATCTTTAATATTTATTGTAAAACGAATCGAATTAATTTTGTTCTTTATATCATACCATTGTTTGTATAGATCTGGGTTCTGTAATACAGTTGCAACTATTCTTGCTCCATGATTAGGTGGATTACTATACATTCCACGAACAATCAAGGTTAATTGAGATTTTACTTGAGCCAATTCTTTTGTATTAGACATAACAACTACCATATTTCCAACCCTTTCATTATATAAGCCAAAATTTTTAGCAAAACTTTGTGCGCACATAAATTCTATTCCACGTTCAGCAAATAATCTTACAGCATATGCATCTTTGTCTAAATCACCAGTTGCAAAACCCTAAAGAATTACATTTTTATATTGCTTTTAAAATTATTCTATTCTAAAGAAGGGAAATAATTTGTAATACCTGATAAGCACTATCAAAAATAGTAAAAAGTTTTCTCTCTTCAATTACATCTCCTATTTTAGCCCATTGTTCAGGAGTTGGATCACAGCCAGTAGGATTATGTGCACATGCATGAAGAATAATTACAGCATTTTCTGGAGCATCTCTAAGATCTTTAATCATTCCTTCTATATCAATACTACGGGTTTCTGGATTCCAATATACATATTCACATGCTTTTTTGAATCCTCCGTTTATGAACACAAGTTTATGATTCTCTATAAATATATCGTATGTTATACAGAGTGAATATTCATCTTATCATTTAAAAATATGTATTGACACTTACCCCAAGTAGGTTTACTATAATAAAAGGTATCATAGTGTAGAATACGACTTAAAAATTCAGCTATAATACGTAATGCTCCAGTACCAGATAATGTTTGAATGCCAAAAGCTCGACCTTGTGCAATAATAGGAGAATCAGCACCCAACAGCATTTTTGTTGCTGCTTGACTAAAAGCATCCAATCCCAAGACAGGAAGATATTCATGATTTTGCAATTCATCTGCAGCTAATGATTTTTCCACTTTTCGAACAACTGGTAATACCCAAGGTTTTCCTTCAGTTGTACGATAAGCTAGAAACAATATGCATTTATCATAATTTTCAAGATTTATTTTGAAAGAAACGAATAAATTATTTAATAATCCTGTATCATTGTCCAATGCTTAAATACAGATTAAATTATATTACAGCAATATTCATATTTGTGAGATACATTATGCAATCACTAGATATTCTGGAGGTCATCCAAGAGCAGATTCATTAGCCATATGAATGGGACATAAAAAAATTTCAGCTTAAAGACAGTCATTTCATACATATGATTTTAAATAGATATATTTTAGCTATATTTTTAAATTATTAAAGAGAATTTGCGCTGTATATTTATGTCTATTTACTACGAGATCAAATATTAAATGAAATGCATGCAACATACCTCCTATGGATAAATTCACTTTTTTTTCGTAAGTATCTTCCGTAAATGCTTTATTAAGTGCAAAAACTTCTATTGGAAGTCCTAGTTTTAGCCCGCTGAATCTCGTATTCATCTTTGGAACGTTTAAATATCGTATGATCAACTATCTATGCAACGATGTAAAATGAGAGATAATCTGACGACATCAATTTATATGAAATAACAAACACATTTACAAACCTTTTACAATCACTGTATGGCGAATGTTTGCGATTTTTAATCTTAGATTTTACAGATAGTAGTAATCCATCGTAAATGTCATGGAAAATAATGTAATGTAACATGTAACTACGCGAACTTCTGGCGCTAATGAATTTAAATTAGCTTTATACGTAGTATTTAACAAATGTAATATTTGATAAAGTGGTGTTCGTAACGTAAATTGTCTATTCTATGTACAAGTGTCACTTTTCAAAAGCAAGATAGACATTGAAATGTATAAGTAAATTACAACATATGACCATCGTTACAAAATATAAATGTAATATAATAAAACACAAACAATTTTTTAATATTCGTCGTGCAAAATATACAAAACAATTCGACGAATATTAAGTCCCATATGTCTTTATAAAAAAATGTTATACATTGTTTATTATAAAATGTTATAAAGCGAGATTATGCGTTATAGAACAGTTGTATTTGTGTTTTAAGAAATTTCTACTTTCTCTATTAGAAACGGTTATTTTCGATAAATGAGATCTTCGGGATTTCTGTCTTATCGATCGATCCGTTTCATCGTTAGCTTTTTTTCAGCTTCTTGCGTTATTACTGCAGAGATCGCCAGTGTACCAATAATACGCGAATGTATATAGTTTGGTTGATACACAAGTGTGTAGCGTAAAGCGCAACATTCCAGCATAGTTTAGTTGAAAGTTGTACCGTGAAGTGTGTACAGCGCGTTGTAACTCTTGTGATAGTTATATTTTTTTTCTTTTCGTCGTATTTCTGCGTTCATGGCTGTGTACTATCGAGCTGCACGGAGAACTGTATTGAAGTAAGTTGAGACGCAAATTAAGAAACGTTAGTCTTACTGCAACTTATCTTTCTGATTACGACTAAAGCATTTTAAAGGGATGCTGTGTGTCATTACGATTCCCTCATGTTTTCGTGAAAAGTATTCTTCGTATCGTTCAGTTTTCCCAAGCGAATGATATTACTCCGTACGACTATATCTCATTTTATTTACGATCATGAAGACAATCAACATATTGCACGAAAATAATTCTATCTCTGTATCAAACGATTAATACAGTTATTATTAACGAAACAAAATTTTGATGGTGCTGTGATGTAACTGTATTTGTCGAAGTGAAGCCATGAACTTAATTTTACTGTCAAATAGAAGTTTGTATTTTAGAAATACGTTGTGATACTTTCTAAAGAAGTTATTTTTTCCTTTTTGTGTAATATTTGAAATAACTATACAATATTACGCACACACACACACACAAATTATATCTCACATATAGTACCGCTATTTCAAATATAATTTATTTTAAAAAGAATTAAGTAACTAAGAGGAAATTATATAATTTAAAAGCTAATTATATTGTACTCTTTTTATCAAATTCGATCTAAGTTCGAAATTAATCGATCAACAGGTTTTGCTCTCTTTTTACGTTTCGTCTCAATCGAAAAGCAGATCAAATATGAAATGAAGCATGGAAAAAGAGTAGGCGAGGCATTGAAACGTTTCTCGATTGAATTAGCTTTTATTTGAAATAGCTTTCAAATAAATCGTTATCTTAAGATAGGTGTAGATAGATTCTATTCATTACGATTAGATATAACAAACACTGTCAATATTTAATGTGATTTAATTCTTATTTTCTACGATTCTACAGCTATATAAAGGCATGCCCATATGTGATGTTAATTGGCGAAAAATAATTTTCATGAAAGTGTGTCGATGCTAGTTTCGATCTGTCGTCATGCGTTTGATGTAATATTTGAATCACGATTCAATCTGTCAATAATGATTTACCGCGTGGCTGTCGTGTTTTATTGATATGTCATTGATACATTGATAAGCTTAGACCGCGTCCGTTAGCTTAATCGTAGTATGTGATAAAGAGCAATAACAAACTCAAAAATCATATTCATATTGATCGATTACAATTCGAATTTAGGATATTGTGAATTTGCATGTATGTACCTGTTGCCTTGTAAACATGCAATTTGGGACTTCTATAGTATAATTCTTTATAGTATTTTAATACAGCAACATTTTGTCTATGTATCTTCAATGATTTACAGTTAAAATTATTACTTTCAAAGACAGTGATTGAATTCTCAGAAATTCTTGATAATTTTATTTAAGAATGGAAGAACAACACGTTGAAAATTTTTTTCTCGCACGAAGTAAAAATAATTATGGCGTGTCTCGAATCAGGAAATATTTTTAAAGAAGTATAAAATTATTACTAATTTTACTTCGTGCATTCATCGCCAGATGGCTTTGCAACAATTCTCATGAGCTCACGTCTGATTTTTGTTTTCTAAGTATAGATCATTTTGTTTATGGCGAAGTACTATATATAACAGAGTTGAAACACATCGTAATGAGCGCACTTTGTTTCTCAGTGAAAGAACAATGCTCTCGTTATTAGAAGAAGCATGAAATTAGTTGTATAAGACATAAGTAGACATGTGTGAAAATGTGAGAACATAAGTGATCATCTAAATAAGATATCTACAAATTTAAAGAAACGTTGTGTATTTGGTATATGAATGTATTCGATAAATACATGAATTGCATGCTAATTCACTGAATTAAAATTACAAAGAGTCAGCCCGGAGATCTTAGGTAGAAGTATTATACTTTTATGATAAAAACAGTACAATATAAATAGTACATTATACAATATATAAATACAATATTTACAATATAAATTAAAGAGCATTCTTATTTCTTTTATTCTATTGTTATCATTTTCCATGCAATTCGTAACATGATGAATCACAATAATATTCTCTTCAATTCGTTTCCATGAAAATTCGAATTGCCAAACTTTCTCTTGTCCCATCAGTCTTCTCGAGTCGAATTTGTTTCGATACGCGATTTAACTTACAAAAGACAAAATGCAATAATGTGCCATTATATCTAATTAGACACTTCCATATGCGGTGACTGGACATTCTAAGAATGACAATACGGCATCTATTAACGTCGATTTAATATTTCTGTTTTTTCTTTGAAGAAAGATTTACATTAATATATATTATAAATGAAAAATAATATACATTATTATTGTATTTTTTTTTATCGATATTTTAAGTATCGATTAGAGTATAAATTATATTCAATGGGCTGTATACGATTATGAAATGCAATAGTTATACGAATGATCCAGGATTTTCATTTATTAAATTAATCGTGGTTGTTTTCAATTAAAATTTCAATTAAAATTCGCTTTTCGATTGAAAGTTGAATTGTCATATCTTCCTTAAATTTAAGAAGCTTTTTGACGATTGGAGAATACAATCGAGCCAAAAATGATTCAGAGTTACAACAATTTTCAGCGTGCAGTCTTCGTCAAATATTTGCAATCAATTAAATTCTAAATATATAATTTAATTCCAACTTGCAATCGATTTCCTTGCAGCCGGTTGCACCAATGATCGCGGAAGAATTTTATGAAACCTGTTAAGTCTTGCGTGAAAGGACGTTGTAGAACGTATTGAAAGATATATATTGCATATATATCATATTATATATATATATATATCTACACACACACATGTATTTTTTTCATTCTAGGTTAGGTTAGTTTGCAATTGAAAGTTGATAGAGATGTAAATGATAAATTTTGTTTCGAAACATTAAGAATGCAGTACATATACTATAATACATGTATTTACTTTCAGTTACTTTCAGTTTACGTTCTATATACATGTATTTACTTAAGTTCTTTAATTCTAGGTTAGGTTAGTTTGCAATT